AAAACCTCTATCAACCGTAATTAATAATTTCTAATTTTCCCGATTTAACTCCTAAACTTTCCCTTAAATAATCAGTTTCAAGACCTACAATTTTTCATTTCAATTCAATTCGAGGATGGAGAACGTGCAATTTGAAGAAGAACTCGTTAGAGAATTTCTGGTATTTTGAGGATTTACATAAACTTCTCATCATTTTCATTATCTAATTGCAAGAATTTTCTCGACAAAATTTTCCTATGATTCGTGGTGGAAGTGAAAGTGTGTTTGGAGAGCATGACCCGCTCTTTTTCGTCACTACCGGCGCCACTGTCGGTGACTGGACTTGGGTTCTCCCATTCCTTGTGCCTCCGATCTTACTCCCTACTCTTGGTCTCTATTTGTATAGTTCAATTTTTGGCTGGTTCCTTTGTAATTCTTGGGTAGTTCCTTCGTGATTCCTGTAGAGATCCCTTGGTTCAATTTTTGTGGCGTTGCTTTATGGTTTTTGGGCTTAAGTGTGAGACCTGATTCATCCATTCTTGCTACACTTGTTTGGAATCGACAGAGGAATTTTGATTCGATTATTAAAATGGCTTTAATTCTTGCATCTTAATTGATCAGAAAATAAAATGTGTTTATTTTATTTAATTGCAAGGCGTTCCCATTACTACAATGGCATCAAAGCTATTGGTTGACAGTTAACTCATGGTTTGCAATTGCTACTGTGATTCGTGGTGAAAGTGAAAGTGTGTTTGGCAGCCCGTGTTCGAAGTGGAATTAGTATGCCTTTGCTGATTCCGCAATAAGGGAACTAAAAACCTTACTATTGATTCTCATCTCTCATCCGTTCATATCTGCATATTGGTTCACTCAATAAATTGGCTAATCACTTATTTGAGAATTATATTACAATAACCATATTGCACAAGGTATTCTGCTATGTCTCGATTGGACAAATAAGAACTCATTTGTGTTACACCAATATGAAAATTTCCAATTTGTTACTTTTTTTTAGTATTCGTCACTTTTTTGAATTGGTGTCACTTTTTTTTAGTGTTTGTCACTTTTTATTAAATTTTTATCACTTTTTTAATGTTTGTTACTTTTTTTGTCAATTCTTTGAAATTTTTTGAGTGACAAACATTATTTTTTGAATAAAAGTGACATTGTATGTCTTTTTAATAAAAAAGTGATAATTAACTTTAAAAAGACAGCGAGTCACTTTTTTTAGTCACTTTTCTGAACTCAATTTTTGTTTTGAATTCATGTCACTTCTTTAGTGTTTATCACTTTTTCTATCACATTTTTTTATTGTTTGTTACTTTTTTAGTAACAAATATCACTTTGTAATAAAAGTGACATTGTATTTTACTTCATTTTTTTATTGAAAGTGATAATATATGCCTTTTTTTAAAATTAAAAAGTGATAATAAAAGTGACATTACACTTAATTTTTTATTAAAAAGTGATACAATGTGGAGTAACTTTTATTAAAAAGTGATTCAATTCACTCAAAAAAGTAATTGGGGTTTCGTCACTTTTTTGAGTTTTTATCATTTTTTTAAATTCTGTCACTTTATTGAATTGATTCCAAAGTTTTGATTGGTTTTGTCACTTTTTTTGTAGTCGTCACTTTTTTTAATTTCTATCATTTTATTAAACTGAATCTAAGGTTTTGTTTAGTGTTTTGCCACTTTTTGAATGTTTTATAGCTTTTTGGTTTTTTTTTTTTTGTGCCTTTTAAAAATGTTTGTCACTTTTTTTCTATTACTTTCTAAAAAATTTTGTCATTTTTTTTGTAACAAACATCACTTTTTAATAAAAGCAAAATTGTATGCCATTTTTTAATTAAAAAAAAAGTAATACTTAACTTTAAAAAGCGATATTGTATCACTTTTTAATAAAAAAAGTGCCACAGTATTTTTTACTTCCATAATACTTTTCATATGATTTTCAAAAGACCACTTATTTTAAGGGTATTTTTGTAAGTTGCCCTTTGTTATATGAATGATTGTATTTGGGCCTAACCTTTTTTTTTTTAACAACATGAGACCCAAAAGAAAAGGCCTAGAAAACTAAATTTAAAAAATGGCACAATCTTTTTATGGGACAAATTCATGGGTCAGGTATTTACTTTCGCGTAATCACAAATCAGGCCCCGAATGTTTAGATTTTAAAAAATCAAGTTTTTCTCCGATTTAATTAATAATATTTAACAACTTATCTAATAATATTCTTTCCTTAATTTAAGTGTACAGTTAAGATTTCCTAATATAATAAACCACCACCCTAATTGCAGATTCTGCTTCATCCCCGGACTGATACCGATTTAGGACCAAAATTGACGGCAGATTAAACGAGATATCAGTCACAGATCGGATTAATTCAAATATCGAATACTGAAATTGGAGACCGGCAATTGACAGTTCCAATTGGAGAAAGACGATTCCATTGCCGGCATCGATATTACCCATTGCCCGTCGGTATGTCATGCTATCCCATCGACGATTACGGTTCTACATACTTTTCATAAATTTGTGACTCCAATTGATACAATAACAATGCACAATCAATAATATTTGTGCAATGATGAGAATGATATGTTTGAAATCTATGGCTTCCTACATTTGAAATTTGTGTCGTACATGAATTCAATCAAACTGCTATCTTCCTACTGTTGTATTCTGTGTCACGCATGATCTCATACCTGTGACCCTGAACACATATGTGACCTGCATTTAATTTCAATTTAAGCTACTGTCTTCCTCCAATTGAATTATGTGTC